TCAAGTTCTATGGATAAAATCTCATGGGCAAAACTTCGCAGACAAATTAACCTCATCGCGCATATATTTAGATTATTCGTCGATTGAACATTTTGTTTGACTGCGCATGAGGCATGCTGACATTTATTTACTTATTTCATAGACTAGATGACCCCCCCCCCCCACTCCCGGCCAATATATTCAACATATTAAACATTAAGCATAGTCAACCAGAAGCAAATGTTTCTTTATTTCCCTGTTAAAAATGTGGGACGGTGGGGTCAAATAGTAGAGCGTTTGACTGCTAAGTCTTGAGTTCGGATCCCGGGCTCAAGTCCCTGAGTCAACCCAGCTCTGATGGGTACCTGACTCACCTTGTGGAAAGTACAAAGCGGCTTGGCATAGTGCTTACCATACCATCCCTTTATATGTCCGGATCAAGTAACATAACCTGGACTTCATATGCACTAAGACCTTTAGGTCTAAAGGGGGGGGGGGAGTTCTTCCAGGCATCTCTAACTCTACTCTCAAACATTCTACCCCCCCGCCCCTTGAACGAAATGGAATTTATATAGAAAATATAAACATTTAACAGTGTCCCCCCCCCCCCCGGAAATTTTAGTCAGCCCCCCCCCCCCAAATTTAAGTGCCCACCCCCCCCCCCTCTGAGAAAAAAGTCTGGATGAAACACTGGTTGGGGGGGGCTTTACTTTATTATTATAACTTCACTATAGACTAGAGTTTAGGTAACTCTCGGCGTATTTGTTGACTTGCTGATATTCCAATCGAGTGTTTATCAATTAGTGCAATTGCAAGAACAGCTTTGCACAGTACGATGAAAGGTAGCCTGGTAGAAAGGAAATGAAAAGACTTGGTAAACGAATTGAGAATTGTCGCTTAGATTTTTATTATGTATAGATCTGAATGATTTTTTTTAAAGGTGAGCTATTTGTTACAAATTTTTGTAGAACTTAAACCAACGACATTATATAATATAGTTAAAGATAAAACCGTACACAATTTAAAAAAAAATAACGGTGTTCAAATAGAATCCAATAGACTTGAGATCTAGACCTTTTACATATTTGACTTCAGTACCTATGGTGTTTGCAACGTATCTGTGTATTGTTCATCTATATACTACTAAAAGTCAAGTTTGTTTACATGTTTGAATATTTATTTTTTTGTTTTTTTGTTTTTTTTTTGTTTGCCTGAATGACTATTGCTCATGGTTGCACTCATCGTGGAAAGCTGTAAAATAGTATGTAGGTAGAGAAAAAATTTTGTTTTAAGACAGACTGTTAATCACAAATTTATTTAAAGACGTTAATTAATTTATTGATTTATTCATTGTTAAATTAACCGTATTTTTTAAAATGTTAATACTTTGAATAACTTTGTGGGGATAGTGACGTCCCTTGATGTGTTTACTTTTTGGTACAATAAAATGGCGGACTCCATCATAGACTTTGTGGCCCATTCGAAAGTTTAACACGTTACAAAGCTAATTTTCTGCCGGCTATAACTTAAACAATACGTCCGTTTGCTGTATTTATTACGTTCCAACACTTATATCAATTTTCAACTGTCTTTTTCATTTAGTTTTACGATAAATTTCTCTAGATCTAAAGATCAGCTGTCGAAGGAAAGTTATTTATAGATCTAGATCTAGAATCTAGAATCTAAAAATCTAGGTCAAATCAAAGATTTATTAGTTATAAATACAGTAAAAAAAACTAAACTTTAGCAAACCAGTCGTAGATCTAGAATATAGATAATTCTATCTAGATTTAGATAATAATGAGTTTTCTATATACTAAACTATTTTAGACCTTTATTATTTTATATAAATCTTTGTTTGTATAGCTATGAAATATGCTAATTAGGAAATGCTGGATTTTGGATAACTTAAGATTCATACGCGGCTTCTATACCGCTAAGTGTGCAAAATTATAGACGTAAACTCTAGATATAGCTCAGTCGTAGATCTAAAATATAGATATTTTTCTATCTAGATTAGATAATAATGATTTTCTATATACTAAACTATTTTAGACCTTTATTATTTTATATAAATCTTTGTTTGGAATATGGTAATTTTGAAATGCTCGCTCCGGGCCTATAAGCGTAGCTAATGATTAGATTAAGATTCTAGGTCTAGCAAGAAAAACTAAACATAAGAAGACTTAAGCAAAAGAGTCGTAGAATCTAGACTAGATCTAGATAATTCTATCTATATCTAGATAATTTCAGACCTTCTTTATTTTATATAAATCTTTGTTTGCTAATTTAAGATAAAATTTAATTTGAAAGTTACTACTACTAGAGTTAGAACTAGATCTATGCGCGTAAGGAGACTCAAAGTATAGTATAAAACTTCACTTGTAATGTCACGAGTAAATAGCTAACTTGGTAGTGCGGTCGACATATGTTGGAGCGCCAAAATGGTTTGGAAAAATAAATTGAAAGGTTGAGGGGGGGTTCAAATGGAAAGTTTGAGTGGGGGGTGGGGGTGCACATCAAAAGTTTGAGGGGGGGGGGGGTTGAAAACCGAAATCTTGGGGGGGGGGGTTACAATCGAAAGTTTATCCCCGGGAAGGGTCGCTATGACTCTGAGTGACAGACGTGATGTTTTATGATGGATGACCCCCGAAACCCACAGTTATCCAACGGATGACGGGTATTCTAGTGCTTATTTAAAATTCAACAAGCACATAAAAACATGATACTAAAACATATAAAATATGTTAGTTCTAGCTCTTTCTCTAAAATCTATAGCTGCCGCTCCTGCTTTATTTAAGTTTTTGGTTAAATAATGTATTAAAGTTCATTAAGCCCCAAATTATTATTGTACAGAAAAAATGCCGAGTCTTCTCAATGGTGTTTCGTTCATCGTGGTTATCCCCCTTCTCCTGTTCAGAGTTGGCGAGATCAGAGCTATGGATGAAAGTAAGTTTGATAAATCACATGTTTGATCGTCTGTGCGTCTGTGTGTATGTGCGTCTGTTCGTCTTGGTATATGTGTGTATTTGTATGTTTGTCAGTGTGTCAATATGCCTGTGTGTATGTGCGTTTGTGTGTCTGTGTTTTTATTTGTATGTCTGTGTGTGTCTATGTGTTTGTCTCTGTTTTGTCTGTGTTTGTCCGTCTATAATTCTGTCCGTCCGCCCAGCTGTGTGTCTATTATGTCTGTGTGTCTGTAAGTCTGTGTGTCTGTGTGTCTGAGCTGTTTATGTCAAGGCTGTTGATGAAAGTAAGTTTGTTCAATCAAACAATTTAAAAATCATTGTAAAAAATCATTGTAAAATGGTATAAAATAAATAATGATTGTGTATCATTTTCTAACATTAAGTTCAAACTAGATATTTAAATCGAGGACTCAATTGTTATTAATAGTTACCTTAATTACTCCATAACTTGTTACACATCACATTTGTAGCTTTTTACTTTCTCGTATACATAGTATAGAAGAAGTATTTTTAATCGTGCACAAGAATTAAATGAAAATTTAACAGTTTTCGACTTTTATTCCTTCCTACATTATCGTATACGGAACAATCGTAATCGTATTCTTGCAAAAATAGAAATCAAAATTTTGAAAAATCTCGACGTTTCACAACTTCAGGAGCCAAAAAAACGTATTTCATTCCATCTTGTCCGTCCGTAAACATGAACACCGTTTCGGTTAGGTAGACAAAATTTCATATATGAGAACTTTATCAAATTTGTAGTGTTCCTTACATTTTTTTTTGATACTCTGAAGTGGTACTTTACTTTCGGTTTCTCAAAAGCCAATAACTTGAGTGACTTCAATAAAAGGAAGTGGTAGTTTATTTCTAATGTCTAAAATACCGATAACTGTACTGTTTAAGTTAAATAGACGAAATTATTTCAAACGTAGGTACTAATCTTATTCTATTAATTCTTGCAAATTTTAAGTGATTTCCGGTGACCGGAATTAGTACTATTACCGATTTCTCAAAAAAAAAAACACTTTAGAATTTGATCATTTTATATCACGTTCGGTTGTTGTTTTTTTATTCGATTCGTTTCTATTTAAAGTGTAAATAATAGTGCAAAAAATGAGTACGTTATAGTTAGGGCTTTCACCCATTCCGCTTTGTCAAAAACCTTCAGAATTTGATAATTCATAATCTCATATAGCGTATTCTAAGAATTTTTCTCTCTATGTCTTCTTTAAAAAAACGTGCGTGTTTGTACTTACTTTATATTGCTCCAGAGCTATAGAAGGTGCCACCCACCTTAAACTTAAAGATAGATAAGAATATAACAGAATATACGAGAAAGTCTAGTAGAGATCATCCCGCTTTTTTTATTTCAAACGCAAAAAACATATAGGTGATTTTATCTACTGGCACTTCACGAAATAAAATAAAATAAATAATTCTATTCAGCCTGAGCTACGACCGAAGGAGATTTAATCGTGAGTATCGTATGTTTTATAACATTTTGTTTATAATTAGTTGTCTTTAATCTGACTGTACTTACCATCGTTTCCAGCTAAATACACTGGAGATAAGGGATGGTCTGGTTTTATGCTAGTAGCTGTGACAATGAACATAATCATGATAGACTGCTGACATTAATGAGAAGTGACAACAACAACAAAAAAGAAGAAAAAATAATGTATGAGAAAAACATTTTTGAAATGATTTCTACTGACTTATGAAAATTGTCGGAGAATTTATGATTCTGAAATGCACCGAAAAATTGAATGTGTCGTAAAAAAAGAATCAACCAGATCTATTTTTGTTATGTCGTGTGAAATGTTATCAGCTATTTAATTTTTATGATTCCAAAAAAAAAAATTAAAAATTATTGTATCCACTTAGAACGGCTGTTATTAGTTTTAGAGCCATTGGTTTATTTTATTCAAACAATGGAACATTTACAAGTGGACATTCTCTTCTACTCCCCCCCCCCCCTCACAGACCCATGGAACTGGAAGTACACGTACCCCAACTGTGGGGGTGTGAAACAGTCCCCCCATCAACATCAAG